CATTTTCTTCCGACATCTGATCCGCTGAAGATGCAGTGGATTAACTTACATTTGTTTTTTAAGGGAATGCACTCAACAATCTACCTAAACGCATCTATGTTCACGCGAATCATTTGTGATCCAGCTTCACCTACAGAAGAAGTGAGTATAAGGTTTTTTAAAGAATCTTTGCAAATCGCCTTTCCTAATAATGTGCTAATTAGCAAGTTTCAGGATGAATGCGGCTAAAGTAAACAGTCTCTCTGAGAGCGGCTCGGAAGAGAGGTGCGGGGTCAGCAGAGCTCATTAACATTTAAAGGAAAATGCTACAAAACTGCTTGCTCTGAAAAGAGCTGTTTTTGTAAAATGTGCTTTTTACACTACCATTGAGAAATTTTAACCAAACTATGTTACAGACATAAGACCCTAAAGAATCATATCAATGTGTGGAAAATGGGCATCCTATGACCCCTTTAAGAAAGTTTTATTATAGCTAGTAAAAATGTATGCTTTTTTTTGTATAACCACAGTTTTACTATAAATACCATGGTTAAACTATGGTTACTGTAGCAAAACCATGGTTAATTTGTGGTTACCATGCTTTAACTAGCAACCATGTTTATTACTATTATTATTATTATTATTATTTACCCTATTTTTATTAATTGGTTAACCATGGTTAATTTTCATAAGGGATGTGTTGCCATGTTAAAAAACAACAAAAAACAAAACAAAACGAAAAACCTCTGAATAAAGAAAAGAGAGGTTTAGAGCCAGATTTTTATGTATGTAAAATCTAGGTAGCAGGAAAAACTATTTAATTAAGTTATATTTTCCTATATTCTCTTTAGAGTAGTCAAACAATCCAAAGAAAACAGAAAGAAAAGTCACTTACAAAATGAGATCGGATGAACATTAAAAATTATCTGACCAAAGTTTCTCTGTGTGGGTACATTGTCAAACAAGTGAAAGACATCTTCATCAGAAGAGTGACAAAAACAGCAACTCACTTCAGTGTCTGACTTATATTATTATAGCTTTTTGTGAAATTTGGAGTAACTCATTAATCTGTTGTTTGACCTCTTCATGTTTAAGGAGAGATCTATAGTTTCCAAAGACAGACATCACTTGTTATGATTTTCAAGGGCATTCATTATCATTAGACAGCTGCAAGGACAGCAATAACATTTGCTGAGTTTGACTAAGCATCTCTCAGGCATTCTGTAACTAACACAGAACTGGGTCACCACTTGGGGGCACAATGGCGTTGATGTGAACAGCTGGTCTAAACTTTCTTCTGAAATCATTTAATCTGAAGATGGCTTTCCAAACCAAGTAAAGTCAATCTCATATGCTGGAGTGTGGAGTGTTTATACCATGCATCAATTAAAGCTGCCATACTGCTCACATACAGTTAAATTGACAGGTATATGGTATATGATTTTTGGTTAATTAGCATCAAGAGTTTAGGTTAATATTTGCATAAATGTGTAAGGATTTAACTTAAATCCTATGACTGGCCACATTTAAATACCTTTTTCTTTCACTAGTTCATATTAAACTGTCCTGTGGTAGAATAGATGCGTTAAAATGTTGTAAAATATATGTATATATGTATACAATTCTTTGTAATGTCTCAGTTTGAATAACTATCCATTTTACTGATTTATTTTCACTAGTTCTGTCCTGTGGTAGAATAGATGCGTTAAAATGTTGTAAAATATATGTATATATGTATACAATGTATACAATTGTCTCAGTTTGAATAACTATCCATTTTACTGATTTATTAATGAATGAATTGGTTCACTAATTCATTCATGCATTTATTGATTCCCTAATTCATTCATGTGCTTATTGATTGACCGAATCATTAATGCATTTATTGATTTCCTGATGAATTTATGTATTTATTCAGGCAGTTGCTGGCACACTTTACTGATACGGAACAGAATAATCAAGACACAAAGAACTGTTCTGTACAACACAGATCAAACACATTAAGAGGTAGAGTTAAATAAAAACACAGAACCTTTACCAACACAGAAAAGATGAAATAGTGAATTAAAATAAGTAGTCTGGATTATTAAGGAACTCCTGCTGAGTTCTGGGGTTGATTTGACCCCTCTGTCAAGCTCCTGAAGTTTGCAGACGACACTACAGTCATCGGCCTCATCAAGGATGGAGACGAGTCTGCTTACAGACAGGAGGTTAAAGAGCTGGCTGTCTGGTGCAGTCTTAACAACCTGGAGCTTAACACACTCAAAACTGTGGAGATGATCGTGGACTTCAGGAGAAAACCCCCTGCACTCCACCCACTCACCATCTTGGACAGCACTGTGACTGCAGTGACTCACCATCATGGACAGCACTGTGACTGCAGTGGAGTCATTCAGGTTCCTGGGCACCACTATCTCTCAGGACCTGAAGTGGGACACTCACATAGACTCCATTGCAAAAAAGGCCCAGCAGAGGTTGTACTTCCTTCGCCAGCTGAGGAAATTCAACCTGCCACAGGAGCTGCTGAAACAGTTCTACTCTGCTATCATTGAGTCTGTCCTGTGTTCATCCATAACTGTCTGGTTTGGTTCGGCAACCAAATCAGACATCAAGAGACTACAACGGACAGTCAGGACTGCTGAGAGGATTATTGGTGCCCCTCTGCCCAGCCTCCAAGATCTTTACATCTCCAGAGTGAGGAAAAGGGCTAAAAAACTCACCTTGGACCCCTCACACCCAGCCCACTCTCTTCGAACTGTTGCCTTCTGGCCGTCGCTACAGAGCACTGACCACCAGAACAGCCAGGCACAAGAACAGTTTTTTCCCACAGGCTATACTCAGTCTGAACAATTAATCTTTCATAATTATACATCGTCCATCACAACTAACATAGTTATATTTATATTAAACTGCACACTTTGTAAATAACATATCTGCACACTAATAAACATATCTGTACATTTATCTAAACAATTAAATTTTTTCCTATACTTCTATTTCTGTATATAGTACATTATTCCATTTTTATTTTTTTTATTATGTTAGTGTTATATTACATCCCTACTGTGTTATTCCTATGTATGTCTGCACTATCATGTATGTCTGCACTATGTTTGTACTTTCTATTACACTGGAAGCTCCTGTCGTCAAGTCAAATTCCTTGTGTGTGTAAACATACTTGGTAATAAAGTGATTCTGATTCTGATTCTGATTCTGATTTCAGAGCAAGAATACCAACACTGTGTATGTGAACAGGGGTCTAGTCTGGTTTTGTGCCTCGCAGATTTAACTCTTAGTAGTGTTGACTTTCTTTCTGCTTTTTTGTCAGATATTACAATTTAAAATAACTGTTCTCTATTTTAAAATATATTAAAATGTAATTTATTCCTGTGATGCAAAGCTGAATTTTTAGCATCTTTACTCCAGTCTTCAGTGTCACATGATCCTTCAGAAATCATTCTAATATGCTGATTTGCGGATTATTATAATAGACTTCTGATTAATGACATCTTTGCTAAATAAAAGCATTAATTTCTTAAAAAAAAAAAATCTTACAGTCCCTAAACTTTTAAACGATAGTGTATATTGCAGTGCAGTGGATAGCAATGGATTGAATTGCAAGACTTGTCAACATGTCAGGCTAAATAAATCTATTAAATAAGAATTTATTTAGGCCACAGAATGACTGGAGTCTCAAGCAAGTACATCATATTAATCATATCTGTCAAAATAGCATAGTCCTTTCTTTGTGTGCAAAATGTTTTGGAAAGTTTTACACATAAACTCAAAGGCAAAGGTACACATAAACTGCTTAAAGGTGAAGTGTGACATTTCTGCACCACTAACAAAAAAGTGCCATTGGTCAGAAAAACAGATAGTCCCGCCCCAAACATATGCAATTGGTTAAGTCCAGTGTTGCCAACTAAGCAATTTTGTTGCTTTAGCAACTTTCAGACTACCCTAGCAACTTTTTCTTCAAAAAGCACATAACAAATTTAGCTATATTTAAAAAATTTATTTGGCAACCTTTAGCAACTGTGACTCGAATCATAAAAAGGCACACATTTTCCCGCTAAATTACACAAAAAGAGGAAATCAAAGGTGTCTAGCAGTACACATATCACGTGAATTAAAGGTGCACTAAGCGATTTTTGCCAAACGATGTTGATATTTGAATGCACCAAAACAAACACACCCATACCCCAGCAAGATCTCGCCCCTATTTTAATAACTCCGCCCCACACGTACATATACAACTCTTGCAGCGACGATGGTGGATCTGCCATGCCTGTCACAGCATATTCAAGCAAAAGCCAACACAGAAAAGCAAGGCCTTCCCGCTCCTTGAGTTCACTCCACCGCTGGAAAGCTGCTCCAATATTTACGCGGGTCCTACCTCTTGCCGGACCGTAACCCTTCTTTTTAATGTTTTGCCCCTCCGAAAATTTCCTTTTTTTTTTTTATCTGCCATCTCTCGCTATCTATAGTCGATCAGCTAATGTCCGTCCTGTGCTCTCTTCTCCCTATCACTAGACACGCCCCTTACTGCTGATTGGCAGCAAGTTTATTTTGGGACTCGGTCCGACACAGTGGTCAAATGCGTTTTTCAAAAATCGCTTAGTGCACCTTTAATTTGCTAGTTGCAATTGTTCAATAGTAATTGTTCATTTATGATAACACCTTGTTATTAGTTTGTACCTGCACTTGTTGAGCAGTTAAAAAATATGTAGAAAAATGGAAAAGGTACTGAAAATTTTCTGCCAGAACTTTATCCGTTAAGTTGTAACCTGATAACATAATACAATGCGTAATTTTAAATTCAGGTAAAAAACCTGTGAAAAATCAATACAGAAAATTCCTTCAAATTAACAGCACATTGTGCCCTATTTTACAGACTTTTCTTAAAGTGTAGCATACGAACTAACTACCAATACACTGCTTAAAAATATAATTATTCAGAATGCGTAATTTTACTAGTTAATAAGAAAATACATCAAATGTAATTGTTCAAAAATGTGTAAATATTCAAAAATTCAATGTTGTATTTATGATATTATTTATAATTTTCATATTATTATATTTATTTTTTAGTTTAACTAACAAATCTAAATGAACATTTCAAATCATATTCATAATCATATTAGCTGAGATTTGAGTGATTTGACTGTGTATTCTATGCAGTTTTGCGTTGTGATTACATAATGATGTCATTGTGCAATGACATCACAATGTCATTTAGCAACTTTTAGCAACAAGTCGTTCTGCCTTTAGCAACTTTTCCTGAAAATTAGTTGGCAACACTGGTTCAGCCAATACTGTTGTGGGCAGAATGCTTTTCAGGGGAATCAACCTACAAATAGTTTAATTAAAGCTGTCTCTGTATGCAAAACTAAGATAAGAGAAAAGACTGCACACTTCAGTTTGTGGTAAGCACACAATCACTTGCAGATCTAGTTGGAGCAGTCATGCTCTCCACCATCTGGATGGCACACTGATAAAATCTGATGCACAGGAGCTGTGCTGATGAAAACCGCAAGCTATTTACGTGCACAATCACCGTCTCTGCTTATTTGCTGAAGGCACTTTCAGACAATACGGTTTTTAGTGGAAATATCCCCTCATACAGCAGCACCTTTGCACTGCTAAATCACAGCAGCTCGACAGTGTGTTTATAAAAGAACAAGAGAGAATGATGAAGGTTAAAGACAGAAAGAAACTAAGTTGTCACATGCAAATCACAGATCGGAAATGAGATGACAAGCAGTTTTGAGAAAAACGTTTGGAGAAGCCAAGGGTCAATAAATGTAATAAATATAATACACTTTAAATAAAATTAAATAAAAAATGCTTAGCAGGTCATTTATTTGATAAAAAAAGTATAATACTATACAATATGTACAAATAAATATGTAAAAAAAATTTCAAACTCTAGGGATCTGTCTTGCTGTCTATAAGCAGCATCCTCAGAGTTTCTACACTGGCAAGTGTGCACTTCACACATACAGCATGTGACACACTAGAGGTATATTTTGAATATTTATATTGTATCACATGACTTTAGTCCATTTCATACGAAATATGTATGCTTAAGTAACCACTGATAATCTGAACTTGAAGAGGAAGGAAAAGGTTGGTACTGACAGTCTTTTGACCAGTGAAATTGTTAAAATCATTAATCATTAAATCATTCATTTGAGGCTTGATCAAGTGAAAATATTCTTAAATTGGATTTTTGTAACCTGACAAACAAAAGTAAAGTGTTGCACTATTGATTTTACGCTTCAAATAATTTGTGCACAACCCCTGTGCAAATGGTGGAGAACAGAAAATTACTTAAAATGGCTTAGATCACCATTATTGTACTAATATTTGGTGCAATTTGCCTGATAATTGGATGAGGTTGGATGAAGTTAGTTTGACCTCCCATATCAATTTGAAATAGGAAATTCCACCAAGGTAATGCAATTAGCAATTATACGTATATTCAACCAACTTTGCACATGCAAAAGACCATGTATGGAAGTAAACAATATAAACCCATGAAAAACCTCCTATCTTGGTAGGAAACTCACTAGGTTTTGATACAGAGCTAGTGTGTTTGTCACCAGGTAGCAGGAAATATATATCTGACGCAACCAGACAAAGCCAGTGAGAAAATGCCTACCCATAGCGTAAGCACACTGTTGCACACATTATTAAAAGAAAGAAAACAGCATTACACCTCTCTGCCTTACCAATTTCACAGTGTACAAGATGTTTCCATAACAGTAGGCCATGATGCCCACAGGAACAAAGAAGCATCCGAGGAGGAAGAAGAGAATGAAGGAAGCGTCGTTGGGATCTTTGGAGGCCCAGTCAAGAGAGCAGCCCAACTGATGGACTTCCAGTGTGTAGCGGTTCCATCCCAGGAGAGGAGCTCCAGTCCAGGCCAAAGAGTACAGCCAGATGTGCGTGATAGCCCTCCAGGCCCAGGGGAAGTCAATGACCTTGGCATGAACCACACGGATGTAGCGCTCATAGGCCAGACCGGAGAGAGTCATGATGGACACGATGCCTTAAAGGACAAGAAAAGAAATAAAAAGACATATAGTTGACTTGAAATTAATAGATAAATGTATGGATGGATGGACGGACAGACAGACAGATAGACCTCCCAAAAATCACAACATGAAAAATTATAGATAAATAATTATATTTTGCATAAAGAAAATTATAATTTGCATGAAGCCTGTTGAAAGAACTACTGTGTTTGTATTTATTTTTTAGATTGTGACATTATTTTCATTGCAGTGAAGCACATTCTGTCCTCAAATTCTCATTACCGAAATGTGTCCAGATGTTTGAGTTTTAGTTTGTTTGTCATTCTCATTATTAAATTTTTTTATTATTCTCTTAAGATTCTGCATGCCACAGACATAATGTATCACTTAAAAATATTTTTTTTTAAATAAATAAAATTATTATTAAATAAAATATTACAATTTTTAAATAATATTAAAATATATTTTTAAATAATAATAAATAAAAGTATCCTCTCTCCACACAACATTCTCCTCAGCAAAGGTGAGTTTAGCATTTTTGATTCTTTCTGCTGATGAGAGGCTTGGTCACTGCAGAGTGCACTTTCAGTCCGACTTCTCCTAAACATCCCGAGACAGATCCTTACCCATTCAGCACTGAACTGGCGAGCAATTCCAGCTGCAGTGTTGAACCGATTCCCCATAGAGAGTCTCCGCATTATCCTGTCTTCTCTTGCATTTGTCTTACATGGACGAGCAGCCTTTTTGGGGGGCTTGAATGTATTAGTCATTGTAAAGCTACAATATTCGAGAAATCACAGATTTGGAATGCAGCTTCTCTGAAATATGATCTAGACATGTTCATGGGAGATTTTGAGAAGATGCTATTGATAGTGTGCATTGTGAAAAGTGTTAATATAAATAAATATAAATGCAAAACAACGTGGCTTCACTCTTTTACAGAATTCAAGCTCCCTGGAAAGAGTCTTACTTTCAGCAGATGATGGATTATAGCAATTGGTATCATTTCTAGAAGTAAATAACTGTATCTCTGAACTGCAGTATTCGCAGAGACTCCTCTGGCAAAAGACTCACAGACACATTCCCCCAATTACCCAGACATCCACAGTCCTCTGTGACAGAGGCAGGCCGGTGGGGAAGCAGCACTAACGTGTTTCCTCTCAGCTGTCAGATGTATTCACACAGACCTCTTTTTTTCCACAGAACTGGCTTAGTAAATTTGATGTGGAATATGATGCAGTATTACACACTGAGCTACATCTCATCAAAACAGTTTTTATTTAAATGAGTCAATTCTCAAGGAAGCAAAAATGGAGGTCACAGACAAAAAAATCCTCAACAAACAACTGTTAGTAGAAGCATCAAACACAGCAAATTTAACATCTAAATGGGTCAAATGAGGGAGTATGGAAACAATCATGTGTTCCCAGATAGCACACGTACGTCTGCAATATGTCTGTTAAAGATCGCTTCATCTGGAAAGCATCTGCAGTGTACAAAATTCTAATAGAGACTTCTCTAAGATGTCAGTTTTACATACATTCTAAATCATAAACATCTTAAAGACATTTTCTAAGCGTCTATTTGACATCTGATAGGAAATGTCCTATAGACGTATTTCAGATGAGAAAACACTCTAAAAAATATGTCTTGCAGATGTCAAATAGACGTCTACGTGATGTGCGTGTGCTATCAGGGTTATGATAATCTTTGAAATAACATCAGTTGTGACCTTGGGGGAGAAGGTGCATAAAATGACCGTCTATCTTTAAGAAATGAGATTATGGTATTCTCCTCAAAGCATATCCTCTCACAGGTGCTTGATAGTGTAAAAAAAATGCAATTAGCAAATATTCAACCAACTTTGCACATGCAAAAGACCATGTATGGAAGTAAACAATATAAACCCATGAAAAACCTCCTATCTTGGTAGGAAACTCACTAGGTTTTGATACAGAGCTAGTGTGTTTGTCACCAGGTAGCAGGAAATATATATCTGACGCAACCAGACAAAGCCAGTGAGAAAATGCCTACCCATAGCGTAAGCACACTGTTGCAAACATTATTAAAAGAAAGAAAACAGCATTACACCTCTCTGCCTTACCAATTTCACAGTGTACAAGATGTTTCCATAACAGTAGGCCATGATGCCCACAGGAACAAAGAAGCATCCGAGGAGGAAGAAGAGAATGAAGGAAGCGTCGTTGGGATCTTTGGAGGCCCAGTCAAGAGAGCAGCCCAACTGATGGACTTCCAGTGTGTAGCGGTTCCATCCCAGGAGAGGAGCTCCAGTCCAGGCCAAAGAGTACAGCCAGATGTGCGTGATAGCCCTCCAGGCCCAGGGGAAGTCAATGACCTTGGCATGAACCACACGGATGTAGCGCTCATAGGCCAGACCGGAGAGAGTCATGATGGACACGATGCCTTAAAGGACAAGAAAAGAAATAAAAAGACATATAGTTGACTTGAAATTAATAGATAAATGTATGGATGGATGGACGGACAGACAGACAGATAGACCTCCCAAAAATCACAACATGAAAAATTATAGATAAATAATTATATTTTGCATAAAGAAAATTATAATTTGCATGAAGCCTGTTGAAAGAACTACTGTGTTTGTATTTATTTTTTAGATTGTGACATTATTTTCATTGCAGTGAAGCACATTCTGTCCTCAAATTCTCATTACCGAAATGTGTCCAGATGTTTGAGTTTTAGTTTGTTTGTCATTCTCATTATTAAATTTTTTTATTATTCTCTTAAGATTCTGCATGCCACAGACATAATGTATCACTTAAAAATATTTTTTTTTAAATAAATAAAATTATTATTAAATAAAATATTACAATTTTTAAATAATATTAAAATATATTTTTAAATAATAATAAATAAAAGTATCCTCTCTCCACACAACATTCTCCTCAGCAAAGGTGAGTTTAGCATTTTTGATTCTTTCTGCTGATGAGAGGCTTGGTCACTGCAGAGTGCACTTTCAGTCCGACTTCTCCTAAACATCCCGAGACAGATCCTTACCCATTCAGCACTGAACTGGCGAGCAATTCCAGCTGCAGTGTTGAACCGATTCCCCATAGAGAGTCTCCGCATTATCCTGTCTTCTCTTGCATTTGTCTTACATGGACGAGCAGCCTTTTTGGGGGGCTTGAATGTATTAGTCATTGTAAAGCTACAATATTCGAGAAATCACAGATTTGGAATGCAGCTTCTCTGAAATATGATCTAGACATGTTCATGGGAGATTTTGAGAAGATGCTATTGATAGTGTGCATTGTGAAAAGTGTTAATATAAATAAATATAAATGCAAAACAACGTGGCTTCACTCTTTTACAGAATTCAAGCTCCCTGGAAAGAGTCTTACTTTCAGCAGATGATGGATTATAGCAATTGGTATCATTTCTAGAAGTAAATAACTGTATCTCTGAACTGCAGTATTCGCAGAGACTCCTCTGGCAAAAGACTCACAGACACATTCCCCCAATTACCCAGACATCCACAGTCCTCTGTGACAGAGGCAGGCCGGTGGGGAAGCAGCACTAACGTGTTTCCTCTCAGCTGTCAGATGTATTCACACAGACCTCTTTTTTTCCACAGAACTGGCTTAGTAAATTTGATGTGGAATATGATGCAGTATTACACACTGAGCTACATCTCATCAAAACAGTTTTTATTTAAATGAGTCAATTCTCAAGGAAGCAAAAATGGAGGTCACAGACAAAAAAATCCTCAACAAACAACTGTTAGTAGAAGCATCAAACACAGCAAATTTAACATCTAAATGGGTCAAATGAGGGAGTATGGAAACAATCATGTGTTCCCAGATAGCACACGTACGTCTGCAATATGTCTGTTAAAGATCGCTTCATCTGGAAAGCATCTGCAGTGTACAAAATTCTAATAGAGACTTCTCTAAGATGTCAGTTTTACATACATTCTAAATCATAAACATCTTAAAGACATTTTCTAAGCGTCTATTTGACATCTGATAGGAAATGTCCTATAGACGTATTTCAGATGAGAAAACACTCTAAAAAATATGTCTTGCAGATGTCAAATAGACGTCTACGTGATGTGCGTGTGCTATCAGGGTTATGATAATCTTTGAAATAACATCAGTTGTGACCTTGGGGGAGAAGGTGCATAAAATGACCGTCTATCTTTAAGAAATGAGATTATGGTATTCTCCTCAAAGCATATCCTCTCACAGGTGCTTGATATTCTGATATTCCTGCTGGATATTTCTGGTGCATTAAAGTGTCATTATCTGACTCCATTTGACTTCATCTTTCCCTGCGCCAGATGGACTTTTATTTCAATAAATGTGTCATAGTTGTATACTTGGAGTTGTGTCTTATGTTGTAAATAGTCAAATAAATCAAATAATTAAGCATAAACGTTCTTACACTCTAAAAAATGCTGGGTTGTTTCAACCCAACTTTGGGTCATTTGGGTCATAACCCAACCGTTGGGTTACATTTTTACATTAAATTTTTAA